ACTAACAGGAGTTTCTCCAGGTCTTGCTCTGATATTGGAGCTGTAAGCCTGGAGTCGGTTATTTTACATAAGAGCTTTGGATTCAACACGTTCAAATGACACAAACTCTTTGTGAACACTGTGATGCTGTGGGCGCCCTGTTGGAGCCAGCAGCACTTTGTCTGAAAAAACAAAACAAAAACAAACCATCATCCTCCTACTACTTCCTGTTGTCTTCTTTGTCGTTTCTGTCAGTGGTAACTGCTGATCACGTAACTCGTATGATGCAAAAGAAGTGTTTCCATTGCAGTTTTGTGAAATATATCTATTTTGATATGGCTAAAAAACCATCTCATCTTGGTGCATTTTCTTTTTTTCTTTTACCAAAACACATGAGTTTTTCCAAAATTGGAGTGTAATTTAAATGTGCGCAATTCTATTGTCAAAGAAAACGCAGCAAATGAGATTTACTGCAGCATCTCTTATCATCTACATTCATCTGCACAGTACATGTTTCATTGCAGCTTGTGAAGAAACAGCCACTGTTCATGCATGCATTACAGCCTATGGTGCAGAAAATCCCAGAATCAGGCCTCAGCATCTTCACAGATCCCCATAATTTAACCCTGTGTGCAAACCAGAGCAGTGAATGAGATACTTCAAGGTCACTGTCCAAGGCTGACAGGGGGATGGGGCTTTAAAGCGAGATGAGAAACCATAACTCAGAACGATTGGCTTGGGTGTGAGCTGCATCCACAACTGGTCTGCATACTGGTTTCCAGACAGACCTGAGATTCCAGAAGTTTCCTGTTCACAAGTAGGACAGTAAACTTTGATTTCTAATGCAGCTCACACTCCTGTAAAGTAAACAGCTTGTTATTTCTGGATCGTACAAACACTCTTGGCACTGTGCAGTTTAATTAGAAGCATGAAAAACTTGGCATCCTGATTTTGTCAATACCATTACTGACAATTTGACCTAAATAGATGATGGCTGTCTCAAACTCTGCCAAAATAAAATAATGCAATTAGACTTAAAGATTTATGAACTACAGAGAACAGCTACTTAAGAGTGGCAAAAAGCAAACTTTTATTGGTAATTAAAATACTGGGGATTGTTATTACACTCAGAAAGCAGCAGTGGTTTGTTGTTCTGGGATCTCAACATTATTTTCCTCTCTGTCCAACATGATGAAAACAAACATATATTTCTGTTACAAAATAATAACTTTGCTCAAGGACTTTACCCTTGAGAGACAAAAACCAATATCAAATCAAAGACCAAACCTTTGGACAGACACCAACCCTAAGAAATCATTAAATTTAATAAGACACATAGGTCTTTCTTCACTCCATTTATCGTTTACTTTGTGACTTGTGTATTTTACGATAAATATGTTCAAATCTCCCATTATTTTCTCCACCAATATAATCATTGTGACGATAATGACTACAACAACTATAATGACTAGGTCATTATAGCTCAACCAGGCTTTAAACATCTTTTCATTATGGCAAAGTGAACAAAGTGAATAAACAGATTTAATTCACAATGTCAGAAAAGGAAACTTGTAAAACCTCTCCATATCAAACATGTATTCAGAGGAAATAAACATGGCTGACGAGGAAGAAGCAAAGCAGAAGGTTGTGGACTTCCAAGGTTCGTCTGAACAAAAGCTTGACCCTAATAGTTAATGTTTAAACTTGCATGTGAAAATGGCTCCAAACAGAAGAGCAATTATACAACTATATATCTTTGAAAAGCAGAAGTGGAGCCTGCTATACAACCAACAAGAATGCAGCAAGTGGTTTCTGGATAGTAAGTCAACAACAAAACACTTGTCTTTTCCAGCAGCCATTGTACAGCGCATACAGCAGTAAAACCAGCTGACCAAATATGGTGGAGCTCTGCTTATGTTGCTAGGTGACTGGCTGGGCTTCACTGAGGTTGCTTGGTAACGGGCTGGGCTTCACTGGGGTTGCTAGGTGAGGAGCAATGCCTGCTGATTTGTGACGTTACTTTCCAGAGTTTTTTTCCCCAAATACCAAAAAAAAATCAACTACTTACTGCCAAAAATCAGCTGAGTGGGGGTTTTTGTGCTCAGGTTGTTTTTGAAGCAGTAGAGACCCAAATAGAAGTGCAAAAAAAAACTTTCGAAAATTAAAATTTTGCTTAATAGTTCCAGTTTATGACTGCTGGATGAGGAAATGTATAGCACCAGTCAACAGATGAGCTGCTGTAGCTCAAAAGCTGAAGACATTAGTGTTGGTCTTCAGTACGACCATACATGTCGTTTTGTTGGTCAAAACAAATAATCCAACTTGTATGAACCCAATCAACAACTTTCAAAGTAGTAGCAGCCAAGACAGAAGCCACACAGCTCCTCTTTAATCTGAGGTTTGACAATCAGCCTCCTCTCTGAAACGCTGGGAAAAGTCTTCAGATGAAGGCTGAGGAGTAAAAAAGAAGAGCGGACTACCTCAAAGGTTCCCTGCCACTCAACAGGCCTTGTCACGGTTCTCCATGTGACACTGAAGTAACCCGTCAACCATGACATTCTCAGTGTCTACAGCCTTCAGCATGTCACAGCAAATTGTATCCAGTCCTGCCGCTGCGACCTCCAGACCTCTGTGACCTTTGCCAAAGAACGGATTAGTGGTTCAGACGGAAACCTCAACAGAGCATGTGGTGGAGCCTGAGATCATCCTCAACCTTCTGCCCCCAACAGTAAACAAACCCAGTCAAATAATGTCTTAATATGGTAAAAAGATTTAGTCAAAACAATGACAATGAAAGAAACTTAAAATGTAAAGTGCATTTTGTAACGATATTTTGCTGTACTAAATGTGACGATAAGAACTATTTATTTATTATGTTTTTTTCAGGTAACATATGACTGGAAAGCACAAGATTCATAGCACTACAAACAAATACTGCTTTAGAAAAACAAGCATCTTCAGAACGCCACTTACTTAGAAAATGTGATTTATGTCACTGAACTGCACCCAGAGACTTACTGATATTTAATGATGCACTTGTGAAAAAATCAGTGGGGAAATTAGTAAAAAGAAAGACATTTTAATCTTTTTATATTAACTGAAATGTATTGAAACAATAAATCAAAATTGGTACCACAATAAGAAAATTTTCCCAATAAACGATATAATGAATTGTTTCTCTACTATGAATCGTGGAGAAAATTGTAAAATCAAACTTTGTATCGTGATCAGAAATTTTTCACAATAAACGATATGATTAATCATTTTCTCCACTATGAATTATGAAGAAAACAGTCAAAATAACATTTCAGTTTGTTTTTTTTAACATTGACTGAAATTAATGGAAACCATAAATCAAAATTTGTTTAAGAAACTTTTCACAATAAATGATAAGCAATATGATAAAAAAATTTATTTGTATTACAATAATATTTTTTTTATGATAAATGACCACCACTACTGTAAACTTAAAACTTTTAGACTAAAAACAAATTTTTTGGATCGTTCTAAAAGAAACATTCGCCAAGCAAACTTCAGTTTTAACTTTAACATTCTGTAAAGTTGTTAGTCCGGAGCTTTTATTAGACTTTGACTTTTACTTACAAGGCCAATCACTGCAATTAATATCAAGAATTCATCAATGAAAAACTATTTACTCTTCACTTTTATAATCTTGACTAGTTACTCTCAATTTATGGTGCCGCTCTGCTGTCATCGCCTGCAGGAGCAACCCTAGGTCCTCTTGCTGCTGCCATGGCAACCATCTTGAAAAAAAAAGGAGCCTGACCTGATGTTAATGTGAAGTGACAGGCAGGAATGTGCTTGCATGTGTGTGTGGGTGGGTTTTTATTATATTTTTTTTAAATTGGAGTATGTAAACATTTTTCTTGTGCGTTTGCGCTGCTGTGTGCGAGCGTGTCCACGCTTCTGTGTGAAGCTCATTAACATCTCTGTGTGCCGACGCCACGCTTTTTAACCGAGATTTGGACAAAAGATGAGAGAGAGGTGGTGGCGGCGGCTTTGACGACGGACGTGTCAATTTGTTGTTTCAATCTCTGCCCGTGCGCAAAAAAATTAAAAAGCTCATTGTATCTTTATGTTGTTCAAAACTAAAACATAGATCATTAATTACTTCAGCTTTTGAGGATTTGTGTCTATGTAGGCATTTTTCTTGGAAATAAACTGATTTGTCCAGCATGGTTTCCTCCAGCAGCATTCGGGCAGATGCAAACTCTGATCTCTGCAGATGTTTTGATTCTAGAAAAGCCCCACCCACACAAAGTGATCCCTCCCCCACTTTGCTGTTGTGAAGCAATAAATTAATCCAGGGCAGAACTGTACATTTATTTTCCATCTGTCTAAAGAAGAAATAAAAAGAACAAAGTGGTTTAGTGAAATTAAAAAAGTTTGAGGATATAGAAAGCTATTTTTTTTATAAACATAACTCTCTCAAGTTGAATATGGCTTTTTCTTCCATCTATATTTGGTTTGGTGATATTTTACAGGTAAAACTACATATCTATTATAATTAGTTGAACAGGCATAAGAAATTTAAAACTAAATTAAAATGTGCTGCTTTTGTTTTTCTTTATTATATTCTTTTTTCCAATATTCTGCTGGAATGCTTTCAAGCATTAAAAAAAACAGCTATGCTGCTTTCAAAACTAATAAAAGCAAACAAATAAAATTTCATCCTAAGTAGTTAAAAAATATAATTTAAGGATTTGGTGAACATTTTCTGATATTTTTTTTTACATAATTTTAAACTGAATGTTGTGATTTACCCCACAATCTCCTTTCTAATTTTAACCTGAATACATGACTATGACATCATTTGCATGATGGCATAGTCATCTAAACGACTGACATCATCACAGTCATTGAAAGGGGTTTTGATAGAACCCTTTCAAAACAGAAATGCAAACATACCAAATCTATGAGCAATATATTTAAAGGACACTTAGCATGTTTCTTTTTATCCAAAACTCTTTGGGGAGGTTAATAAACAGCTGTTATCTTACCTGCAGGACTTTTGGAGACGGTTTGGATACTTGGGATAAACAGCTGATAAGACGTCATCTAAAAAAGCGGTTAATGTAAAAAAGAAATTGTTAATTACAGTGAAGACCGTATAAAAATCAAACGGACAGAAAAAGGTATAAATGTCAGCAGAATCTGCTGTAATCTAGTTTACCTAGCTCACTGCGCTTTCCAGTTACCTAGGAAGCTGGGTTTGACGTCACATCCGAGGTAACGGTTCTAGTTAAGAGGTAGGAATTTCAACATGGCGACGTCTGTAAACGTTGTTTATTTTCCACAATTAAACACCACTCTTAATTTTTTCAGCTCAAAGATTCAGGCGCTACATGTAACATTGATTTTATACGTACAGTGTGTCTCCACCACATCTTACCACTGTTGATGCCAGGAGCGGCTGTATTGAAACGCAAAGTATTCGGAGTTGCTCCCAGTTTCCCAGTGGGAAATCCGACTTCGAAGGGTGTTCTAGTTTGCTTTTCTGACTGGGGTGTCGTAATTTCCCAGCTCCGAGTACAACTGGAACGTAGCATTAGAAACAGGTGTAAACAATCAAGCAGAGCACGTTATAACATGCAGGAACAGTGGTGAGGTTCTCAAGTTCTACTTTAGCTCTTCTATAAACTATTTGAAATTATGTTTTCATTAAGTGTGCACAACCTTATAGTAATATATAGTTGAAGCACCTTTTGATTTTATCAAAGCACTCCGTCATTCTGGGAATCTATCAGCATGGTGCATCTTGTTGGAAGGTGGAGGTAATGCACCTATAAGTTGTTTGCCAACCGCCATAAAACAAGAAGAAGAAGAAGAAGAAGAAGATGGTGCATCTTGACCTGATGATATGTACCCAATCTTCTTTCCAAAAACTCTCCTAAAATCTAGCAGACTGCCAGGCAATCATGATCATGATGCTGCCACCAGCATATGATGATCTGTGTTATATTTGTGCCAAATAACTGTGGACAAAAAGTTAAACTTTGGATACATAACACCAAAGCACAGCAAGTTTAGTCTGCTTTAACTGAACAGTTAATTTGCTTATAATAGCCTAGTTTGTTTGGAGAGGTGTGAATGTGCAAATGAACTCTGATGCGGACCAAAAAGAGCGAACTCTGGTCCGCCTAAAAACCTAGGTCTCAGTTCTGCTAAAGTTAAGTCAAAAGCAGGAAGTGAACTAGAACGCAGGGTATTCTGGGTAAATACTAACCAAAATAAACATGAAAGTGTGACGCTAGATGGAGAAATGGCTCATATTCTTTTACAAAAAAAGCAAAAGAGAAATGTTACAACTGCTAAAAGCTGACACTACTCCATTTTTGTTTACCTTTTGCGAAGACGGAAGTTGACCTTCTGACTTCTTCTGAGGTTTTTGTGTCATTTCCTTTGTCCCAGTTCTTGGTATAGCGCCACCACAGGCCAGTGGGCGAACAGGTTTCCCAATTGGTTTGGTTCATTTGGTACATAAAATGTAACAAATGTTATAATTTTCGTTCCCAATCGTACTGAGTCTACTGGACTATCAGGTGTGAAAACACACTTAGAGGACCAAGATATCAGAATTTAAAATCACAGACTCCAAAATGCGTAAATAAACCAAGAACAAAATCCAGAACCACGTCTTCAAACAAAATGTGAGACAATTACAATAAATTTGTCTTACGAATCAAACTTTTAAAAAAAAATCTTTATACTTAATAGTTTTGAGTAAAATCAGATAATGTTTTGCTCTTCTATCTAAGTGTTGATTTTAACATGGAACCTTCTAAAAGCTGCTGCAGAAATCTGGTTAGGCATATGGATTTGCCAAGAAATTAGGTTTTAAACCAAAATTCCTACCGCAAATCTAGGTCCCACTAATCCCCTTTTCCTTTTATAGAAGCCAGTTTTATTCTATGCATAAAAATCAAGCTGAAGCTGATATGTGGTGGTAACGAGGTTACATAAAAGCTTTGTAAACTGCAGAGAAAGCAAAACAGAGCTGTGACGGCTAACAGTAGCTCTGACCTCCCCTGTTCCCAATTCAAGCTTCAATTTGGTAAATTAAAAGGTGATCAAGGAGATTAGAGTAAATACAGATTGCCACATCCCATTTGACACAGTAACCCTGCTGCCAAAAAACCCCGTTTCACACAGAATAAAAAGCCTTTCATTGTCAGTATGGAGAGCGTACCAGCAGCTGTGGTTAATTTAAACAATAGCACTTTGAAATCACATCTTATGCTTTTATTTTAGGCTCCTTCTCCTCCACATTCAATAGTACAGGAGAGGAATGATGTGAGACATTCTTTCTGAAATGCAACCAATGGACCCTCAGGATTTCCGCTTTGTTTTGCAGATGATGGTTTTGGGCTGGCACTAAAACAAATGGGATTAGATTTAGCTCCTGTAAGTCTTAGGCCACAGTTCTGAGTAGAAAAAAAGTTGAATCGCTCTGTCCGGGTCTCAGTTTCTGCCTCAGGCGTGAAGATTTTAGTCTCTTCTTGTCTTGTTCCCAAAGTCTGATGTCAGGATAATGAATAAATATTGTTTGGTGGGTTGCAGGTTGTTCTCTGGTCTGCTGTGCTGAAGAGCCAAAAAGCTAATTTCTCAATTTTCCGGCCTGTCTACTTTCCACTCCTCAGTTATGGTTATAATAAACGCATCATGATGAAAATAAAAATCCAAACCATGGATACAAGTGGCTAAATTTAGCTTGTTTGTTAGCGTAGGTTAACTCAATTCACCAATGTCAAATACTGCAGAATATGACACTATTACATAAATAAAATACACATTTTCAGCTGAATTAATTTCTTGCTATGTTTTCTTGCTGAATTTGACTTGAACGATCGTTCCTGGCAAATGGTGGATTTCTATATCCAGTGCCTATTTTAGGAAGCAATGAACCGTCTTGTAAGTCATATATTCAGCTCAGAGTTTAATAAGTTGGCTAAAACTTTGGGTTTTCATTATGAGTTCTTCACCTGCCTGAGAACCTGCATTAGTTTCCCAGATGCTCAACTGGAAGGTTGATGTAATGTACAGTGCTGTGGATGATGGGCTGAGAGGAATCTAATTAGACAGCCATTGAGGCCACTTTAAAGGAGATGTAAAACAGGTTAGGACAGGAAATCCTATTCCAGGTTGGCTGCTCTGGCTTTCACCACATCCATCATGTACATTTATGGCGGTAATTTTGTGTTTCCCTCTAAAGGGTTTTGCATACAAAGGTCAACAACTAGATGAAGCATTTTTGATAACTGAGAATGGACAAATTTTAGCGCTTATTTCATGCCATTGTGCTTCAGCATCTAAGGCTTAGAGCTGGAGTAGGTAACTTTAAAAAGAAGTTTCTTATATATTTGTTAAAACTGTCACCATGTTGTGACAATATGAGACAAATGATGTGTGAAAACATCAAGTTCCTCCACTTGGTACCTGAGGTACTACTGCCTTCAGCAGAAATTAACAACTCCTCATCAAAACAGCCAATCAGAGCCAGGAGGAGTGTCCTAGCGCTGTCAATCAAACTTGTATACATGCTGTTAAATGTGCTAATAGCAAAGAAACAACTGAAAAACGGTTTGTTCGCCGTCATTGGCCATGCTAACTAGCCATAGCATTTTGATGTGGAGAAGCAGTAGCGTAGCAGAGAGCATGGAGGAGAGTGCGAGCAGCATATACACAAGAATGATTGACAGCACTAAGACTCTCCTCCTGGCTCTGATTAGTTGTTTTTGATCAAACTCTACAGTTTGTCTCATGCTGTCACAACATGGTGACAGCTGTAGCAAATATGTAAAAACATATTTTTTAAAATACTGCAGCTTTAAATTTAGATTTTCAGACTTCAAAGTTGTTGGAGGATGGTGGCGCAGCATGTTTGATAATGACTTATCACGTAAGAAAACTTATTCTCTTGTGATTTTAGTATTTCTTATTTAATGAAAACAGCGCAACTGCAAAATTGTGTTTTTTCAATCAACAAAGTTTTACTCACATTTGTCATGGAAATGCAACAACTTTATTTCGTCATCTGTTCTTGTGCATAATGTTTTCCCTTTTGGTATCTTTTAGCCTCATGTTGTAACTTGGTGCTTTTTTATTCATTTTGATTTTAGACGTCTGGCACAAATTTGAATTGGGTGTAGCTAATGAAATTCAAAATCTTGTAAAAATATATAATTTTTTCAAGAGGGGGCAGTTACTTTTCTTTTATCTCTTTTATTTAGAAATAAAATCATCCTTTGAAAACTGTCTTGTATGTAGTTTGTTTGAATATCAAATATTTAAATGTGACAAAAAGAAAAACTTGATAAAACTGTAAGCTGGTAAACATTTTTTCACAGCCTTACATTCAGACTTAAACTTTGTCCTATATTCTTAATACATCCTGCCTATTGTATGGCTATATTCTCTATTGCAGTGATATTTTCTCATCTTTTGTTGTTGCAGCCAACCCAAGTCGTCCCTCTTTATTAAAGAAAAAAAAGAGCATCATATTGGATTCCAGCTTGAGTTAAGCTGAAATGCTGGACGGTGCCGCAAGATGAAATGCTGCATAAACAGGGTGAAAAATATCAGCCTTCAGAAAAATAATAAATTAAAGGCTGACAAATTTGGATGGGAAATGGGATGTGATTCAGTCAGCCCTCCAGGCAGCCAACTGCGGATTACAATGAAATCTTTTGTGCTCCTAAAAAAAACATTGTAAATTGTGTCAATTTGCAAAACGACGGACTTAGCAGGTTCTCCATCCATTCAGCCATTCAGCTCACAGCAAACCAAGTTAAAAGTTTCCTTTCCAGTGATGTTTCCAGTGGGAAAACCACCAGTGGAGCTCAGAGTTGAATCACAGGTCAAGTGTGAAGTAGCGACAGGACACTGCGAGTTGCCAACACAACCCGTCGCACATCTGCTTGCAGTTTCGTGACAGACCCCCTCCTGGGGCCAAAACAGCCTCCAAAGTGTCTCAGCTCTGCCAGTGACGAGGGAAAGCATAAAGAAACAGATTTAAGGTAAGGTCATTTTATTTATCTGCCACATTTTCAGCAACAAGGCAGTTCAAAGTGCTTCACATGAGTTAGAGGAAATATAAACAAAACAACAAACCAAAAGAAAGGCAAAAAGGTAAAAGTATAACCTACATATTGGTTCCTCATATTTAATAAGAATAAGAGTAAATTGTGCATTAAGTAGTGGTTTCTCTGGATTCCTGTTCTGATAAAACTAAATGTTGGTTCCAGTTGTTCTGGGTTGAGTTATAGATTTGTACCATATAAAGCTAAATGTTGGTTCTCCTTGTTTGATTCTTGTTCTGGTAGTTAAGTAGACATTACTTTCTAAATTTGTTCTAGATTTGTAAACTAACAGGAGTTTCTCTAGATCTTGCCCTGATTTTAAAAGTATAAAGATAAATGTTGGTCTAAACTAATAAATACTCCACAATTTCTAAAAGTAATTAAGCTCTTGTCTTTTTATTATATACAATTATTATATTTTTGTCATGTATTGGTACTTACATGTTGTGTG